AAAGTACCGGAATTTCACACTTCAAGACCGGAGTAATCGGAAAAGGAGAAATCATCGGAAGAAAGGATGTCTTCCTTTAATTGAATACAGTCACGATCACTGATTTTATTCGTGAAGGAAATACAAAAAAAGCGAACCAATTTACAATAATTTGGACGCGTAGACGTATACATTGACACTGGAGTAACGTTTCCAACGTCGAATAATGGCGGATATCTCGTAACAATATTCGCAACAATAAACACAATGAAAAACACAGGTAATGAGAATACGAAATAACAAATTCTATCAGAAACCATATATTATACTAGAATGGATACTTTCTGATATATTGAAATCTCTTATTTCCTGTTCTGTTATTTCCTATTGTCCGTGCTTTTCATTGTGTTTCCAGCTTAGGACCCTTAGGGCTAGACCCTTGCGCCGCCGTGCCACGCCGCCGCCGCCGATAAATTATTATTTGCCGATTCCGCCGCCGCCGATTTTGAAATTGTCGCTGAACGCCGCCGCCGCCATGCAAAAATTAATACGGTGCGCCGAAAGAAAGCAAAATGCTATATATGTTCTATAAATATTTTATATACATTGGTTGGAGTATATTATATTGCGTCATCTGTAATTTATTGAAAAATACTTAGGCTGCAATTTACTTGAAGCTACAAAGGCTTCGAAGCATTTTATTGATCAATCACAGTCGATTAATCTTCTCACTTTCGAGTCTTTCGAGTGTGATTGGACAATTTCTTACGAGTTACGATTCCTATTGCAGATGTCGCATAAATCTCGCACGTCTGTCGATCCTGTCGATCTATTATATACATACTATATCTACTAAATTTGTTTATTGAATAATTTAGAGTTTAATTCTCTTATATTCCTACAGTTTCTTTAGAAACTAAAGAAAAGGAAAACGAAATAATTCCGATCAGAATTCATTCCAATTCCAAGCAATTCCATAATATGTGCCCAGGAATATCGAAATACTAGAGAGACTGACGATAGCGCCTGACGGAACTTTTGGAGTACTGTAGCGCCTTCAATCTATATTTCGATCAATTACATGATTTTTATATGATTAATTATAACTATATGAATGACTCATAAACCTTTTTAATAATACTTCATAATTCTTCATACAAAATACAAACGATTCCTTGTAAGAACGTTGTTTAATTCACCTCTGGTTAATTTTTTCGGCTAAATACATGGTGTAAAAATGATTAATTAATTAAAATTAACTGAATGACTCACAAACCTTTTCAATTGCACTTCAAAACTCTTCATACAAAATACAAACGTTTTGGAATAGTAATTCTTTCAACTTGTTCAAGTACATAAGAATTGGTATATTAAGTAGTGACAGCCAATGAAAACCGCGCTTTTTTCCTAGGATAGTCCTTGCCATTGGCTATCGTTAGTTATCGACATCGATAACTGTCGGTAGACGTGTACAGAATATGGGCCCAGGGCCCAGGGCCGTTATGTATAAATCATAAATATAATTTCATTGCTCATAACATATATACTTAAATATTATGCATTTTATATCATTCTATTTCATATTATCAAATTAATTTTAATTACTTTAACGATGGATTCTCGATAAACAGAAATCAATTGATGGAAATGGCCACATTGTGGAATTAAACGAGGCAAAAGTTGACAAGAGAAAGTACAATAAAGGTCGTATAATTGAAGGACATTGGGTTTTTGGTAGTATTGAACGTAATAAAAACATTTTTATCTTACCTATACCAAATCAATCCAGTAACACTCTCTTATCAATTATACGAAAATATGTCCTCCCCGGTTCAATAATTTATACGGATTAGTGGCGTGCATATAAGAACCTTTTGATAATGATAACAATTACACTCATTGTACTGTAAATCATTCAGTAAATTTTGTGAATCCTGATATTGGTGTCCATATTCAAAATATAGAAAGAGAGTATGGCGGGATATGCAAGCAAACATTCCTCGTTATGGAACACGTGAAAAGCATTATGTATATTATCTCGCTGAATTCTTATTTAAAAGAATATATAATTTTGACGAAAGAATTGTTACTTTTTTCGAAATTATGAGTATGATGTATCCATTGGCTAAAACTTGTTGGAGGTCACTCAGAGTCATGACCTTGACAACATATGTCAAGGTCAAGGTCATTGGAGCTTAGTCCTCTAATCGATACTTTTACCCAGGTAAACAGTTGGCGCAGTTATCGGCAGAGATGAATATGTTCATGCCAATGTTGATTGCAAAAGATTATACAAAATACGAAAAGGTAGGTCATGAAACATGCTCTTTGTAATATTTGTCTATTTGGTATGCTAATAGCTAAGGTCTACTATATTTCGATGCTTACTGTAAAACTGGGCAAGTGATATACGGTTTTAATCAGTATTCCCTGGCGGTCATGTGGATGACAGATTATAATTTGTAATATTCATATATGCGTAAAAGTTGCAATTGAATATTCCTCTTACACTTGGGGATAAGATGACAGTAAAACACAATTTTTCCTGCTTGAAACCGTCATTAAAACGATTTTATGAATTAAAATTTTGGATGCTTTATATAATTCGAAATATTTTAAGTTAATGAAATGCCGTTCAAACGAATAAAAGTATGTCCAACTTACTTCCTAAATTACTTTCTTTCATATTTCCTCAATTTACGTTTTATCATACCTTTATGTTTTTATAGCTTAAACTTTTGATTATAGACTGTAAATATGTAAGTAAAATATGCAAGTTTATATTGTATCGCATTATTTAATTGTTTGTAACATCTTCTCTCATAGGAGGTGGCATCTTATTCATATATATAAGGGGAAGATGCCACTTTTGCAAGGTATATGATATATCAAATTTTTTCAATAATACGGAATATTAAATGTTAAATTTATAAACTTGTGTAAATAAAGATTGAAAGATCTCTAAAACATAAATAATATTTTTTCGTAACTTAATTCAATAACATTAAGGAGTTATTCAAGAATAAAGGCTTAAGTGTGACGTCTTCCCCCTAATTACCTTAATGCCTATAAAATGCAAAGAATTATTAATGTATTGTAAAAAACAAAATGTTGTAAGAATTTTTAAAATTTTAACACGTAAAGTATAGTCTTTTAAAATTTTCCACTTTTTTTTTATCATAAAAGTTATATTGCGGTATATTAATGCCTATGTACTGCACACTTATAAATTATTCATTTCTGGGGAAGCGATGAATGACACAGTTTTACATTCTGCGATAGCAAACGATCGCAAAGTGTAGTGTAGTAACGTAGTGTAGCGGAATAGTAATTAAACGATACCAGATATACGATCTGATCTTGTGCTGCTCTTTTATCATAATGGAAATCAATGCATGCACGAATCGATCACACGCGCGTTTTATAGCTTCCGAGTTTCAATATAAATAACATTAATGATAATCCCAGATTGATGTCATTTGCGCCGCACAAGTGCTTGGGATATTATTATACCTGTGTCGTTCATAACACAGTGTAATTGTGTTACAAGAATTTTTATTTTGTGTTGCATACCTAGCTATAACATTTTCTTTCGTTTCGTATATATACAATCGATTTGCGATTATTAAAGTAAGTGAACTACACACACTATTACTTTAATTTATTATATTTTATCTTTTCACGATTGCTTGTACAATTCTGCAAAGTTTAGATCGTTGTAAAGTTTGATAATTGTGTAACGTTGAAAAATATTCTAAGGATATTAATTATTCTCTGCCTGCAAAATTACATAATGTATCTATAATTGAATTCATTTTTACTTATACATCTCTTGGTTTTGCATCTTGGTCCCTATTTAAAAAATAGAAGCCAATTGATGTGATAGATAGAAGTATATACGTTATAGAATTGTTGATCAAGAAATGTAGTTAGTATAAAATATGTTTTTATCATGAATTTTATTTTTAAATCAGAATTAATTAAAAACTGTGATTTTGCAAAATATTTGGGATGTATCAAGGCATTCGATATTTTAGTTCAATATTTTTATACATCATTATGTTTATACAGCAGGTGATAGTTAAGTATCTAAAAGATTTTAAGGAGTGATTTCTCAGATTACTTCAAGATGAAAATTTCATATCATCATATATTCAAAATGATATAGTTTTAAAGATACAAAATTGAAAGGCAAATTTTATTTTTTTCTAAAAACTTCGAAAACCACTCAAGCTATTTTAATAAAACGTTAAACATACATAAAGTTTCATTAAAATAACCCGAATGATTTTTGAAATTTATGGAAATAAAACTTATTTAGAAGAAATTTTTCCTTCAATTTTGACACCTTATATCTTTAAAGTTAAGCCGTTGGAATATATGGACCTTATGAAATATTCGGCTTTATCTAATATAAAAAATTACTCCTTAAAGAGTTACCTTTTAGTACCGCAAATGTAGGTGATTAGGGACAGTTTAGATAACTTGGGACAGCATGTGCTTTTGTTAAATTCAATCATGGAATACATCCATGAGTCTCTAAATCTACAATAGGTGTTTTAAGCCTTAAGTCGTAAGAGATTGACCAATTATAGTCGAATTCAAAGAGAATAATTGACTATGATTCGTCCATTTCTTATGACTTAAAGCTTAGAACTCTATTGTAGATCCAGGATAAAGGAAGTTTAAGTTTTAAACTTCCTTTAGAGATTCATGGATGGATACCACGGTTAAATTTAACAAAAATATATGCTGTCCCAAGTCACCTACATTTACGGTACTTAACTACCACCTTGTATAGAAAAAAAGTTTTTAAATAATTCTTATTACATTTTTATTACATATTTTTGTTACGATTACTTTTTTTAATCTTACAAATAATCTAATTTCAAGACCAATTTGCAAACTTGCAACTTACACATAATAATGTTGAATAATACATAATATCTTAAATAATTATTTACTCTAGGCTGAAATTAATTAATTTTTGTGTTATATATTTAAGAAACGGATAATAAATGATGTGGGTCGAAAGGAATAAAGTTAAAGCTAAAAACAATACTTTTATCAAGCAAGCATGGATGACAAAAGTTTCGGAGAAATCATCACGCTTGAAAACTATATTAAAGTATTTAAAATTGTATTGTAAACATTCCAGTATAAACAGTTTAAAATACCTTGTCGATTCTCAAAGACCTTGGTTTGAGAGGTAATCAATCAAAATCACATTTATTTACAGTATAATTAGTGTGTACACAAATGAATATAGGATTATGTAGGAATTTCTAGAGTGTGTATTTTTCTTGCGAAATTAATAATACCGCAGTGAATAGAAATTTTAGGATTAGTAGCGGTTCACACATAAATTAAGACGTCCACAAATCATGATCCTGTTTCGCGGTACACTTTGCGAAAAGGAGAAAAAATAAACGCGACTCATTTTGCAAAAAGGAGAAAAAAAGGAAAGCGGAAAAAATGTAATTCCATAAAATGCCGCAATATGGCATTGTTAGTTGATTTAATGTAAATTTACGCATGATGACGTTAATATCGCGGTGCGAATTCAGTGATGAACACTTTGTGATATGAATAAGAACGAACAAATTATTGCTCAATGTTGCTTGGCTTACAACACGTAAATCTATACTTTTGCTTTATTCTTATCTCTATTGTTGTCTTTGAACTTTTAAAAATATAAATAAAATAAGCAAGTAAAATAAATAAATAAGGTACCACTTTAACTAAATAATGTCATTTTTACACTTGTTGTGTAATTAAATATATCTTTCAGAATTACGTGGGTTATTATACATTGCATAATTATATCTGTTCTGGTGAGTATGGTTTATACTTCTTATCAAGAATTTGTGTCATCACCTATAGTAATTTCCATGGATGCACATGATCATAAAACGGCCACTTTAGCCTTTCCAGGTATAAAGATTAAGATATTTCCTTAACTTGTACATGTGCATGCAATTATTTATAAAGATTTATTTTTGATAGTATATTATATTAATAGTTCATTTAACTAAGATTATTTATTTCCTAACGGATAAACTTTTCCTGGATGGAATCAATCATAATAATTACGAAAATGTCTAAATTGATATTTATGCATATATACATGTATATACATATATCTACAGGGTGTCCCATTTTAATGTCCCACCCCAAACAACTTTTTTATTTTTAATCTTAGAAAAAAATATTTCAGACAAAAGTTGTATGGCTTTAGGGGGACATAAAATGGTGTTATCATAGGCGAGCGGTTTATCCCCGAAAAATCGCTTAGAAAATGCATTAACCGACCGATCAAAGTTCTAGCGACTGAAAATGATTGGAATCGATTCCTTATATTATTCTGCGAAAAAGCATCTATATACATTTAATTTTTTTAAGTGGTCGTTAAAAAGCTATAAACAATTTTTTGTTTAAAAAATCTAAACTTTGAACAAAAATTCCGAAAAAATTCTGTAAGCTTAATTGGATCAAAATGAACATTTTTTGTCTCTTACAATTAGACTTTTTTGATAAAATCAATAATTTTCGAGACATAAAAGATTATTTTATCGTATTGATAAAAAATATATACCACGATAATTTTCAGGAATCTCCATCTGCTCCATTAATAGGATTAGTTTGCAATCCGCGAAAAAACTGGCGACCAATATGTGAGCTGGATTTGTATACTAAATAATCGCAAATTACATTCATGTATATTAAACACATCATTTGCATTTATGTACACTGATACCGATGAGATACTATTACAGACCGACATCCTTACAAGAATTCGTGTCCCTGTTATATGCTTTATTAGCAAACGCACATTTTAATATATGATATACTATTAAAGTTATTGTTGTACACTTATACAGTATAGTAGAGTAGACATAAATAGATTATCATATATATAGTAGAGATTTAAAAAAATGCTCGATTTGAATTTTTCATCATATTTTATTTTCTAGTAAAGATATTGATGCTGTTTCCAAATGTTATTGTTATTTACAAAAAATTACACAATACAAAAAATTCACTAAAAATTCACAATACAATTTATTCTAAGCTAAAAGATTTAATAATGAAAGACAATAAAAAAAATAATTATGTTATAAGAACTTTTTTTCGAAAATCATTTAATAATTTTACTTTAATAACTGTCTTTTTATTTACTATTACAGAAAATTAAATCAATAAGATTTGCTGTTGCGAGTCGGGCTATTGCGAGTTTTGACAGCATTGTATCTATGTGACGTACGTCACACTAATTTGTCCGTCACATAAAGTAAAAACTTAATTATCAACTTTGAAAGTATTATTAATTTTCTCATTACAGACACCAGTTTGTTCAATTTTATATTATATAAACATTACTTTAAAATATTTTCAGTATATTATAATATAAATATACCATAACGTATTATAAAAATATATGAAACATATTATGCTATTGAACAATGTAGACATCAATTACGTGGTCACAGAAAGTCGTGCATTTTTTGTCCTTGCTACTGTATATTAAAGATATCCTTGAAATGTATCATGATGACTTTAATTGAAATATTTATTCTTATTTTATTTTTTTAAATTTTTTTTTTGAACTAGTTCTAACGCAAAAATCACGGATCAGTCAGTCGATGAAATTCTCGATTTGATAAAGCAGCTGGGCAATCTCTACGTTTCTGTGATGGTCAATAATAATAGTCAAGATGTGAAATTAGATAAACTTTTAACAACTTATTATAACGGGTCTTATGATATCACTGAAATAATGAAAACTGTACGTATGCAAACTCAATCAACATCTTATTTCAAATATGTGATGTACTAGAGTTTTATTTACAAAAACACTTTTATATTAGACTTTTCTTATATACATACATATATACGCGTAAACTTCTTCTAATTGTATAATAATTAGGTAACTGATAATGAAAATTGCTTAATTTTTATTGTTTAGTATAATAATAGAAATTAAATTCTGTCTAATTATATATATAAAAGCTTGTCTAATTTTAAATGCAAATTTCTTCGAAAAGCGTGATCCCATTTTTATGCTGATCTTTCTCGAGTACTCCCTGTCTAAATTTATCTCCCTAACTTTCAATATTCTAGTGATTCTAATAAATAAAAATCATTTATGCACAGACAAGCACGTTTTTTTATTTTTCTGCGATGTAGGTGATTTTAATTTCTTCTGAAGAGCAATCAAAATATTATTTACACGATACTTCGTATCAGCCGTTGTTATCGTTTATATAAAAAATTGTCGGAAATTTATAATATATGTCGTATATTTGCATTTTTCAGCTGACACCACAATGTTCGATGTTAATGAAATGTAAGTTGCATGGAATCTACAGAAATTGCTCAGAGCTTTTTGAGTTTCGCAAGACGCAGGACGGATACTGTTGTACCTTCAATTATGTGCGTGAAAGCGATGACATCCCCAAGTGAGTATCCTGCTTTCAAAATGTATTTTCGAGAAGCATACGACACGTAGTAATTTAACCACTTATTCGACTAGTTAGGATAGGCAGCGCAGCGACATGTTTCAGAATGGGTAAATGAAGTATATCTCCAAAACGGGGGTCCCCTTGGCGTTTATTTTTTCTTTTTTTAAAAAGACGTTTTAGATGCAATACAGTCGTGTGTGCAATACGCTGTGTGCAATATCATTATGTGCAAACAATTAAGCTGTGGGCATTCGTTTTGTAGGCAAATGGAGCCCTCTCTTCCCAGAAGCATTATGTACTATATAAAAATGTTCTACTATTTATACGATAATGTTCTATTATATATATAAAATTGTTGTATTTATCATTGTGTTATTTTATTATATTTTATCACTATATTTTGACATTAAAGACAATAAATATATATATATTTTTTTAAATTAATTATTTTAAATATCTTCTAATTATATATTTAAAATTGATAAATACCAAATTGACATCAATTGAATCGTAACACTCTATAATATTAAATAATTCACAATATTTGTTGATTATTGATCGTAGTATATCAATAATATTGCAAAAAAATACTGCTGTTTGCCTTAATCTATTTTTGTACACGCGATGCATTATAAAGATTAACTACCGCTACTAGAAAAATCGATCTTTTATATAGAATAATTCATGAGTACTTTTTAATTATAATATTAATATGTAAATAAATTTTTCTTAACAGATATTTAATAGAAATCAATTTTTAATCAAAGAAAAACTTATTTAAAATTAATAAAACGCAAGTTCTCTTATCTTTTTATATTCCAAAGTATGTATTTTTGGCAATATGCATTAATTTTTAATGATTAATAATTCATTATTATGTTTTAATATTGAAAGAATTAATGCATATTGCCAAAAATACATCTTCTTGTTTTTACTTGTAGAATATGCTGGTAAAGTTTTGCCAAGAAAACAGGAACACCCTACTGTTAAATATAAGCATCACAATTATTTGAAAAATTATTTGAAATTAATTGCAAAAATTATACCCTAACAGACTGAACAATATAATTGAACCAAGAGACCAGGAATCAGTGAAGACTCTCGGAATAATAGGCGGTCTATCGGTCATGATGGATCCACTTTTGGATGACTATTTCTATTCAATATTGCCCGTTAAGGGTTGGAAAGTAAGTGGAAATGATATTATACACTATTTTAATTAATTGAGAAAGCAAAACAGTGGTCTTTAATTATATCCCACATTTTTTAAAACGACTTACATTTCGGAGCTATAATTAAATTTACTATCAAAGAAAAATTATTTATCGTTCATGCAAAATTAAAAAAAAAAAAAATCTGGAAAAATACTTTTTTTTAATTAACAAAAAACGATATTTAATCTAGATTCTGAAAAACTTGATAATACGCAATTACATAGAGAGTTCCTAGAATGTTTCGCTTAACTTCGTCAGCGTGTCTTGATTATTAAGGTAATGATAGAAGTTTGAATAAAAGAACTTTTGTTATTTAAAATAGTTATTAAAAAGGAATTACATAATTAAGAGGATTTCATGGAAATAAATAACAATCTCAATTAAATCGTAGGAACTTAATTTAATTCTTTAAGGCTTGTTATATCAAGGGCAACTATGTAAAATAAACAGAGAATGGAGGCAACTATAATAGTTCTGTATAATTGCCGTTATTTATTAATTACTTAGGGGTTTATTTTGTAACTTTTAACAACTGTAACATTAGACATACATCTTGATAGCCCCTTAGTTATCTTGTTATAATAACAATTTGGTAATGACGTTGCGAATTTTTATGATGATAATGTAACACCAGAGTTGGAACAGTCAATAGTTATTTATAACGGATTGGAAAAGTCATTCGTTACAGAAAAAAATATCTCACAATTTGTAATTCGTTACTCTTGCACTTCTTGCACGGGATCGAATTAATATGTTCAATTTCCCTTGAGAATTACTTGAAATATGCAAGTCGAATCGCGTACGGATATACAGGGTGTACCATTTTAATAATTAGGCATTAAGATTTCTCGAAAACTGTGGTAGATATGGAAAAATGTTTCAAACAAAAGTTGTATGGTTCGAAGAGGGACATAAGAAGGTACCATTGATTTGACCTTGAGTGGCGTTGTTCAGATCAGGTCAAGGTCACATCGATCTTTTTAAATGGAACACCATATTTTTTATTCCAGAATTTAATAGCTAATAGCGAGAAATTTTCAAAATACTATAATGAAGTTCATTTTCATTAAATACTTTCCGAGTTATGAGACTATAATATATGAGAGTATAATAGTAATTCAAGATTGAATTATTCAAGCATTAAAGATCCAGTTCCGACCGTTATAAACATTTTAATTTCTAATATTGATTGAGTTCTCACATGTTACGGTCTAAAATAAGATTCTTATTGTTAATATTCATTGAATTTTTAGGTGGTCGTGTTCAATCCTACTGATTATCCGGATATGACCAGTGGTGGTGTCACGGAGGTACTCGCAATGCCTCAATATGAAACATATTTGAATGTGGAAGCAACGCTCTTTAGCAGTAGTCGTAACATTATAAATTTACCCAGAAATAAACGTAACTGCGTTTTTTCAAGTGAAATAATTTTTTCAAATATTACAATATATACTTATAGCGATTGTATCGTTAATTGTAAGATTAATGACATACAAAAGTACTGTGGATGCAGACCATTCATTTACCCACGTCGTGGCAAAGAAGACCGTTAGTAAAAGCATATTATTAATTTTTTTAACTATTCATGCTTCCGAATGATCTTGATCCTAAAAATTAAAGTGTTTTGACATTTTCCATCGCTTACTGTTTATTAAAAAATTACTAACGAAACAATTTTTATATGAATAGAATATAATTTTTGAATACACAAACAAACAAGATACAGATTTCAGTAATATATGGAATGAAATTCTTTTCACGTTATATTTTCAAATATTGAGCGATTACGACATGAGTATGGTGTTTTAGCTCGTTTCGGCGTAAAAGATCATTATGTGAATTATAAGCAGAACTTATGTTTAAGAAATAGTGTGACTTTATTTTGAAAGATTATCGCAATTTTTTAAATTAGTGGCTTCTTTATATCCATTAACTAATGATGTAGCAACTATTTCTCTCTTCTCTCTTCTCTCTCAATGAATAAAATATAATATTTTCTCGAAAAAATGTTGGCAACATGTTACTTATTATGTGTGTTGAATATAACAACGGGTTTTTTTTTTCCAATGTTATTATTTTGAGTCATCATCCTAATATGTATGTACAAATACTGAAACACGCAAAACCTCCTTAAGAGTCAAAGTTAACGTCAAGATCATTCGGAAGTCATTTGGAGCTAACTGTGTAAAGGAAATTAATTACCTTATGTTGTAAAAAATAATCTGATTCTTTAAAACTTGCTTTACAAAAAAGAAATTTTAATTTTATTTATACAATTTTGTGTTTTTTACAGATTAATTTTAAAAATATTCTTTATTTGTGATTATTATTATTATGTTCTACATGTAATATATATATATATATATATACTTTGTTATACTTCAGATTCATGGCGTATTTGTAATATCACGGACTTCCAATGCCTATCTAAGTATAAATGTAAATATTTTATTACATTATTAATAATAAAAACAGGTGTTTCTTTACATAAGTAATTTGAAAATTTTAATATTTATATTATCTATATATAACATATTATATAAATAAATTAATAATTACGGTTATGTCATTTACTATATATTGATCCTTTATTTTCTGGAATAGCTAAACGAATGACAATTTTCTCTCACGAGGACGTAGAATCCAGTCTTTTTCAAGAAGAAAATGATGCTTTACATTGTATATATTGTTACCCTGCCTGCAACGACACTAGATATAGTGTATTAAGTATGAGAGCTTTCATGGATCACGGTACATTTGAACCTAACATATTGTAAGCATACAGTATTTTTATTAGTATAAAAAATAAAATTCTTTCTAAAGATTGTTCCTAAAAAAGATGTCGCCATTACTTTGTTGCCGAATTTCAGTCCAAATTACAAAATTACTAATGAAGGATTGCTGCATGTATACTTTTCGAAACACCGCACAATCAAATTGAGACAAGATATGTCTTCTTACTGGTATAATCTCTTGAGTAAGTACAGATTATTAAGAAATTATACTTGTAAATGGAAGTTTAAATTTAAATTTTTACAATCCGAACTTTTATATGTCTTTACTAGATTAAGAATTTAAAAAAAAAATTATGACATAAACGCAATCTATTTTGAATATAGGATTAATTATAGAAATAAGATTCTTTCTTTTATTCAATGCTTCTTTAAGAAATCTTATAATTATGAATTTAATTATTTTACTTAGTTTCTTTAAATATATTTTAATAATCAATTAAGGCAAAAGCTATACAAATAATTTTGTAAAATGGATAAAATTGATAAGCGGAAGGAACGTAAAAGGTATATCACACAGAATTGCTCAATGTTTAATTGAGGTATTATTAAAACGGCCGCAATTGAAAAGTATCTCGAATTAGCATCTTAAATTCTAAAATTCTTAAGATTTTACTTAAAATGATCTTGAAATTAATTGAAAACGACCTGTGAATATCAGACATTTTAATAATGTATAAATAAGCTTTAAAAGTATTGTTTAAAACATTTTAAAACTTGTTTTAAATATGTTTAAAACATGTTTAAAACATTAAGAATATTTTCAATAAAAAAACACGTTTTGTTCTTTAAAAAAAAAACATTTTCCCCCTAACCCTTTCTGTGGGCAATAATACTACATATATAGGCAACCGATCTGTAGACAATGATACATGTAGGCAAATGTGATTTCGTCTCTGAAATTTTTATTTGTGCGCAAAAGTGTTTGTATACTGTATAGTGTAGGCAATCGAGCTGTAGGCAATAATTTTTATGCGCAAACGAACTGTCGACAAAAATAGGCAAACGATGCTGTAGACAATCGATTTGTAGGCAAAAGAAACCATCTCAATCGTCACTATATGCGCGTAATGCTTTTTAAGAATAAACATTGAAAACACGCGGCCATTTCATCAAATCGTCTTATCCTCCCTTTCTAGATATCGTATCACAAAAATGATCGTTTTACAGGTGATATCGGCAGTATATGTGGCGTCTTCATCGGCTTTAGTTTCATCGCTATAGTGGAGCTTCTGTACTTCTTTGTACTCCTGTTTTGCGATTTGTTCTGTAAAAAATCGGTATTGCAGAAAGATGATCGCAAGACTGAAATCCCACCAGACCAAATTCAAACCAAAGGAAAATTATATTGGAATGAACTGTTGCCGCGATCTTGGCATTCAGCGAAATACGGCAAATTCTTTACTAAAAAAGCTAGATATTAACTGGCGAAGTTATTATGGAATTATTCAAGAAAATTTCCGATTGAAATAGTTCCATTTTTGTTAATATAATAGACTTTAAATAAACATGAAAATTTTCTCAAAATTTGTATTTTTTTTATTTTTTCTAGCTTTGAACACAAAATACACCAGCGACAAATACATTAGCGTGTACATTTTAATCGTGAAAAAGAAATTTTTATTCTGTGAAACCATTACGAAGAAATTCGACAGGAACAAAAACATCTAAAACGCTAGTTTTATCGGTAATACAGGCGGCTCTAGCATCCCCTTAAGTATTTTCATAGCATATACATATATTATACTATACATTTACAATAAATATTTCATAATATGTATAATTAATGACTTATAATCTATGCAATCTGAGAGAAAGAGAGAGAGACAAAAATAAAATATATTTACAAAATATTTAAAATAAATCTTACAAATATTTCTAAATATTTTGTAAATATTTTATGAATATCGTATACTGTCTGGGTATTGCCGCAGCGTGCTGCGTATGAAAAGTCAGCTTTACCCACCGGAAATATCCATGGATACATAGTTCTCTATATGCACGCTTCATGTAGGCGTTCATTGAGGCGCCAGTAGACGGATTTTATTTAAAATCTAACTTAACATTAAAGCTAACCTAATCTGACTTTGAGTAGCACTCGATCTGCCTGATCAGTTGATCCGTATGGCGTATCCATGTGGCGTGTGATTTTGACGAACATATTTGTGTTTGTTGAATACAATTAGATCGATCGGAAACAACGTACAACGTTGTAAAGTTTGTCTTTTGTTTCCGTTGTTAAAAAGAATCGAAGTGAGTGACAAGAAAGCATGTTGCTGAGCGTCTTGAAGTCGAAATTCGGTTATGACGATTTCAAAAATGACATTCAGAAGCAAGCTACTACCGCTATTCACAAAGGTTTCTGCAAAATGTTGATCCTTTTTGAATTATCTCTCTTAGTAGCTGTAATATCTTCCATCCCCATGCAGTTTTTCTTTTTTTTTTTCTTCTTTCATGATGGAATATTTCGTAAAAGCCAGTTTACAAAACGTTGACGATTTTAGGAAAGCAAGATGCATTTGTATGCATGCCTACGGGCTCTGGGAAGTCTCTCTGTTTTCAATTACCAGCGATAATGAAAGAGCAGAAAGTTGCAATTGTCTTCTCACCGCTTTTAGCTTTGATGAAGGTATTTTTTACTTCATCAATTTTTTTGTATATGTCTCTTTTATATAAAAAAGAAAATCTGGAAATAGAAAAAGAGAAGCGTTAATAACTTCTTTTACGTTCTGGAGCTGACAGTGGGTCTATTGAACCTATTCGATTATAAATCTCTTTGTCAAAAATGTCAATTTAATTTTCTTTACATCTGTAAAATTTTGATTATTTTTATTAAAATGTACTTATTATCCATTTTTCTTGTCATTTTGGTTCCTTCAAATTAATTAATGTCTTTTAATTAAATTAAATGTATCTTGATCTACAGACTCAATTATATTTATCCAGAACTGATGATGAGTTTATTAGATCCATAGTTATAAATCTTTTTGTAAAAAATTTCAACCTAATTTTCTTTACATTTGCACAAATTTGGATTATTTTTGTTAAAATATATAATTATTGTTAATATTCATTCTTTTTTATGTCATTTTGATTACTTTAAATTAATTAATAACTTTTTAATTAACATAAATTAAATGAGTCTTATAGATCCAGCATTAGTAATTGTATAACAGATTTTTACGTCAGCTCTAGAGGATATACTTATGTTATTAATAATATTCTTGAGGCTTCCACGGGTGTTTCCTATATGACAATCTTGTGCTTCGCGGGTTTTCTCCGTGTTCAAATCCATTCTTGGAATGCCAACGTTTCGTGAACCTTGCAGTCCACTTCATCAGGGCGAGGAACAGCCTGATACCAGGTATCTGGTCTGATACTAAATATACTGACCTAGTATCAGGCTGTTCCTCGCCCTGATGAAGTGGATTGCAAGATTCACGAAACGTTGGCATTCCAAGAATGGATCTGAACACGGAGAAAACCTGCGAAACGCAAGATTGTCTTATGTTATTAATATTGATATTTAATATTGATTGAATATATACTTGAATAAAAACAAATTTTTGAATATTAATTTAATTTCTTTAGAATCAAATAGACTTTTTGGTGAGTAAGAAAATAAATGCCTGCTCTTTGAACTCCACTACTTCCAGCAAAGAGAGAAACACCATTATGAAAGATTTACTGTCAGATGCGCCAAAGATAAAATTATTGTATGTTACTCCTGAAATGGGAGCGCAACGTCATTTTCAGGTATTTTTTTTGGTTTCAAGTCTTTTATATTAGTTGAAAGGAATAGTCCTAAATTATTTCAAAAGCTAATTCGGAAGACGATATTTCAAGATATTTATTTGAATTTTTTAATCTTTCTCATTATGGATTCATTTAATTTATAGGAAACCATAATTCAAATGCAAAAGAAAAAAACACTCTCATATTTCGTTATTGATGAAGCACATTGTTTAAGCGAATGGGGTCATGACTTTAGACCAACTTACAGGCAATTAGGAACTTTTAAAAAATTGTGTTTCAAGATACCTATGATTGCATTAACAGCAACTGCTTCAAAACAGGCAAATCCCATCTAAGAAAATATTAATATTTATGTTTAACGGTTATTACATTAGAATAACATTATTGAATATTATTATAGGTAAAGGACGATATTCTCCAAAGCTTGCATATGCAAGATGCAGTGATATTTTCTCAACCGGTATTTCGTGCTAATTTATATTATGACATATGGTTTCAAGAAATGTTAGACAAACCATTTATACATCTTAAAAACTTTATTTTGGACGCACTTGGTCCCTCAGATAATTCTATTCCTATGGTAAGTTAAATTTTATTATTGTTACCGTTGTATTCTATGAATCATACAGATTAATATTATGGATCCTCTTCGTATTTTTAGCATAAAAGAAATTGTGGTATCATTTATTGTCGAAAAAAGGAAGCAACTGAAATTGTTGCGCATAAATTAACTCTTGCGGGTATTTCTACGCTTGCGTATCATGGAAGTATGTGATTATATAGCATGCTAATACAAACTTGTAAAAAAATAATGTTATTTTATTGTAACACTTGAATAGGCTTAAAAACTCAGGAACGTAATGAAGTACAAAATAAGTGGACGGCAGGTGAAGTACCTGTTATCGCGGCAACATGTAGTTTCGGGATGGGTGTCGATAAGGGATCCGTTAGGTAGTTCTGACATTTTCGAAAAACAATATTACACGCTAAGGAAAATGGTTTATTTATTATATGGATACGTTTAGATTTGTAGTTCATTGGACAGTGCCTCAGAATATTGCAGCATATTATCAAGAATCAGGAAGGGCGGGCAGAGATGGGAAGCCGGCATTCTGCAGGATTTATTTTAGTAACGAAGAATATAGACCTATTTCATTCCTTATCAAAGAGGAAATTACTCATAAGAACTCCGATCTTGTGAAAATTAAATGGCAGAATTTTGAGAAAAGTATTGCATACTGTTTAGAGGCAAAGTACGATCTTTATTTGTGTGTGTGTGTGTGTGTATGTGTGTGTATTCTCAAGAATTTAATTATAATATTTAAAAATGAAAAAATGCGTTTTTTTAAAAGCTTTTAATATTATACATATTTTTCCGAATATTTTGAAGCAAAAAATAAATATATTATAAATAAAATATGATTTGAGATATTTTGGTTGCTTCAAGAATCGCTTGGTATTTTAAGTATATTGTAAATATTGATACTCGCGTGCTATTATCTGCAGATGTCGACATGCAGTATTCTCTAAATATTTCGGGGATTCTCCACCATCTTGCAAAAATAGATGCGACGTTTGTAAAAACAAGGATGAAGTACAAGCAAGGATTGCTCAATTTGAGATGTGTCAGACTAGATCTAACAAATCCCGAAGTAATGTAGGCAGTGTAATACAAATGGGTTACAGTGATGATGAAATGTATGTAAAAAATTGTTTAAATAATTTACATCTGCAACAAACATACTTTCGATAAAATGGTGGCTTTAAAGTGTTTATAATTTTAACAATAACGATAGGGATACATTCAATGAACCACAAGAATCGAGAGAGAGTATAATAGCAGCTGAAAAACGAGAAAGAAAAGAACTTATTATAGAGCAATTTGCACTTCGGCGTGGTACAGCTAAAGAGGATGAAGTAAGTTTGTGAGTAAATTTTTTAAATATAATTGTTTCTATGTTTTTATTTATTTTCCGCAGGTGAGGCGACAAAACATTAAGGATGCGAAAGTGGCGCATGTTTGTGCAGCTAGTAGTACAGATAAAAAAATAAAAGGTTTAACTGTTCAAGTAAGACATTATGCATTGTTTTTTTATATGAAATATTATTTATACTTTTATAATTTTTGTTTTTTTTTGTTTGAAGATTCGAGAACACTTTTACAATGAATTAAAAACAGCATTACTTGAAAATTATCAAAATTTGTGTACAGAAATTAATGAAGAACAGTTTGAAGAGAAAAATATGCACGATGTGGCTAATAGTATAGAATATAAAATATTTTCTAGTTCCAAAGTACCAAATAAGTACAAATTTGATATGTCTAGATTGGTATGTAATATTTTCTATAAATATTTTCTCATATATTTTTTATAAATATCTTTTATAATTATTTTTTAAGTCTTCATACACACACACACACACACACACACACGCACGCACACACACGTAATACCAAAAGAAATTAAAGAACTTGAATAAATATGAGTTGTTTGACTAAATTTTTTTGTATGTAGAACTATAATTGAAATTAATAATATATATTATTATAATAATATATATTTAAAATAATAATAATATTTATTATTATTATTTTAAATATTATTTTAAATATGAATATTTTTTGTTTTATTTGTTTTACTTATACAGATTTCGTCGGTACGAAAATGTACTATTAATAATACTGTGTATGAAGGAATGAGTGACTATAATGAGACTGAATTTCGTAACTCCGAATTTGACTATTCTAACAATATCGACATATCCAATAGTGAACAAATGACAAATACAGTCAAAATACAATTTACCGGAAATACTTATTTATCGAGTAGTCCTAAAGAGACTTTCACTTCTACTTTTAAAACTGCATCAGAGATTATAAAGGAGGAAAGATTACGATTATCTACTTTAGACAAAGATAGAAAGGCTCAATCTTTAGAATTATCTGCTAATAATAATGCACAAAGAAGTACATCCAAAAACGATAAATTACAGATGTCAGGTTTTGTTTGTGCGCGAAAAATTCACGAGGGTGATATGATTAATTCTAATACAAGTTCTTCTAAATCAAAAGTTCATAGAAACAAGACAGATAAGACTGCAAAAAGAGCAGCTAAAACAGTTTACGAGCAGATTTTAGCACAGTCATCATCAAAGAAGACTGTGGAAGAAAGGAAAGATGTTCCTTTTAAGGCAGAATTGAAAGTAGATAATGTTAATTCTATTAAAACTAAAAATGAAGTTAAAAGTGAAAGTAAAAATAAAAGGGGTTATGAATACGTTGAATGTCATGAGAATGACATAAAATTTGCTAAGAAAAAAAGAATTGTACATGACGATTATGTTGATAAAACTAGTGATAATATATCCGATAAAAATAACGATAAAAAGATTTTAAATGACAAAATTATGAAAATGATCAGAAAAAGTACAGATACAGTTATTAATACTATAAATGATAATTTATCGAGAACGACACAAGATAACACAGAAAAGCATTTTGAAATAAAAACTAATGCGGAATTAAAAAGGAAGGAGGAAACTACACATTTGTCTCGTTCAAAATCTCATAAAAATAGTAGTAGTAACAGACCGAAAGTACCTGCAGACAAAGCTACACAATTTAAAACTGCAGAAATTTTAAAGTCGTATCTAATGAAGTACTACCCGTCAGAACGGCTTCCGGATAGGGCGACATTTACGAAAACTTGCAGAGAAATGCACTATAATATGCTACATAAGAAAATATTTGGTACGATAAGCTTAAAAGTTTATAATATAATTTTATAGAATGTTATGAATTTTAGAATGCTTGCAATATATAAATGATATCTTTAATTTTAGATAAAGAAGGAATACACGACTTTGTTGTAAATTTTATGAGTCAGTCTTAAATGTGTTTATTTCACGTTTAACGTGCTCCTACTATTTGCTGATCTACTGAGTAAGTGATAGGAGTAATATGCTATTTATAATTGATACATTTAATTATGAATAAATTTTTCTATATGTATTTACAAAATTTTCTTATTGTATTTATTAAATATTTTTTTTTATTATGTATAGTTAATTGTGTGTGAATATATTCATAGAATTAAATGAAAACAAATTTCTTAGGAGTTTTTGTTGAAACATGTGATCATATATAAATTCGTGATTAAGACTTATTTTAATATTATTTATTTATAAAACGCAAAGAGGATATTTTCGGAAGAAAAACAAATTTTGTACAATATCAATATATATATATACACGTGTTATATATATATATATATACACATATATTGTGTATATACCGGGTGTCTGAGACCACCTGTACACCCCTTTTATCTCGGAAACAGAGCATTTTAGAAAAAAACGTTTCAGACAAAAGTTGGTTCTGAGGTGTGCATAAGATGTTGTCATTGGTTTGACTTTGAATTGTCGTTTGAAAGTCATATGAAAGTCACATTGATTTTTCCAAGTACATCCTATTTTTCATTTCATATTCTTGTAACTTATCTCAAGAGCTTTCCAAAATACTATAATCAGATAGTTTTTCAATAAGAATTTTTTGTGTTGTAAGACTTCAAAGTTACAGTACCGCGCTGACATTAGCATTACGCAATGTGTCCGATCGATGGTTAAAACCTCTTGTTGTTCAGGATTATGTCCTGGATAACATTTATCAAGATTAAGACCATTGGAGATTATTGTTTTACAAGATGTTTTGTATTTTAATTGTCAAAATGTTGAAACTTTCAAGTCTAATAACTCAAAAAGTTCTTAATGAAAAAATATTTGATCATAGTATTTTGGGAAGCGCTTGAGATAAGTTATAAGAATATGCAATGAAAAATAGGGTGTACTATTTGGAAAAATTAACGTGACCTTCATATGACTTTCAAACGACTATTTAAGGTCAAACCAATGACACCATCTTATGTACACCTCAAAACCATACAACTTTTGTCTGAAACTTTTTTTTTTTCTAAAATGCTCTCTGTTTCCGAGATAAAAGGGATGTACGAGTGGTCTCAGACACTCGGTGTGTGTATGTATATACATATATATATATATATTTCAATATCTTAGTTATACATCCAATCTTTTTTTTATTAAATTTATATCATACTTCATAAATGTAAAGAAGACGCTTTCTCGGAAATTTGTCATACCCGCAAATGATATTACGAAACTTATTCTTATTTCTAAGTATTTTATTAAACATGTGAGCACACATTCTTAATTGTAATCATATTAAATTTATATTTCTATAATGTTTGTAATAAATAAGGCAAGGTATTTTTCAGAGAAAAAAAATTTCTCGTAGAGAGCTATATTGTTATGCTTACATTTATGATCTATACATATATTAAAAAAGATTTGCTTCTTCGTTATAATCTACGCTAAAAATGACTTTTGCTCCCTGGTGCGTAAAATTTCCTGGTTACAAAAAATAAATGTATAAAAAAATTTGTTTCTTTTTACAAACAATAAAGATATACGATCTTATCTGTATTTTTTTTCAATTTGTTTTTAGTAAGAGATATGTGCGAAATTTTAGATATAACGTCTCATTGTCAATGCGCATTACATATTTAATAATTCACAAATTATTTACATATTTACATTCATGTAAAAAAATGCAATGCGAAATACATTAAGTATTACTATATAACTATATACTCATTATGTTATACTATAGAAATAGATAAAAATTATTTCCACTCCGATTTTAGGTGACAAATTAAAACTTCGGCACATTAATTTTCGTATCATCCACAGTTTATATATAGTCCACAATTATTAGAATTAATATACAGAGTAGGACATTTAAAGTGTATAATCTACATATCATTTTTTAAAAGCAACTGATGTTTATTTTCTTTGCATTACGTTTATTTTTCTCATTATTTTATTATTTTATGCATATTAAAAAAATTTAAAGCATATTTAAAAAAAAATAGTTTAAGAGATATTTAAGATATTTTATATTTTATGTCAAAATGTGCCATAAATAAAGTATGATATATCTCGTAAATTATTAATTTTTCAATATTTCTACCTTAATACTTTCGTACGCAAAATAGTTAGGGGAATCATATTATATAAAAACTATTTCATTTAAAAAAGTGAAGGCGACCTCCATGTGATCTTTGGAAAACCGATTTTAAAAAGAATTGGTTTTATCATTATTTGTCTTCCTTGAAATGATACAACTTTTGTCTGAACATATTTTTGACGCATACTTTTTGGGATAATAGCTTGTAACACTTTAAATGCCCCATTCTGTAAAATAATAATTGTCGAAAAAGATATAAAGTTGAATAATCTACTGAATGATATTCAAGTCGGCTTGGTCCTCTCCACATGTTTTCACCATGAGATTGCGTTATTGACAATGACGAATCGTTGCCCATGTGGAGAGGAATCCATGATGTAGCCCATGATGTGACATGGGCCCTATTTGAGATCTCTAGATATACAAAGCAATTCGCTTTATTAATACTACTACTTGGAATATCTCTATTTTAGAATTCTATCGACTTATTATATTATTTGATAAATGGCAAGTTTTTAACAAATGCTTTCTTTCTAAAACAAGAGAAAAGAGTACAAAACATAGAAAAGGTAAATAAATTAAAATAGTTGATTCCAAGCGGTAACATTAAATAGACTAATTTGCATATGGATATTTTACAATACATATGTATTTAAAAAGTAATGATCGATTTCGTCTAAAGAATTAACATTGTTAAATTTGTTATGGTTCTTTTTAATATGATTCTCTTTATTTTGTTATTTTTTAACATTGTTAAAAATTTATTAAATTATCCCTAGTTCTAAACATACATTATATAATAATTGAGCGATTGTCAATTGAATGTCTGTTAATTGTTTAAATTTGAGCTTGGTGATTAATGTATCAATATATTCCTCTGTAATGTCGATATAATATTTTTCTCTGTCTCTCTCATATAGGTATCTATATTATAGAATTCCTCTCTATGTTATATCATATTTAAGAAAATACTGTTACAAAATATGAGAGCAAAATGAAACAATCACAGACATATGATTACTAGCATGTCATGTTATTTAGTTACAGTAATTAAAGTTTACTTAGAAATAATGAAGCACCACTGGTATAATATGAATACTATATATGAAGTATCTTTATGTTATATCTTTGTAATTCTAATCAGAAAATTTCAGAAATTTCTTTAGAAATGTTTACGCAAATTATATTTTTTTAAAACATTCTTAAAAATTCTTATTCGTTTTATGTTATAACTGGCTCATAGCCCATTCTTTTTACTACTGATTTATTCTGATTGAGCCATATAGATAATTTATTTTAACTTATTCGTTTTATTTAGAAAAATTAATATAGAAAAATAAAAAATGAAAGTAAAATGAAAAAAAAATGATGCCACCATTTCGACTAAAATGAAGTGATTCTGTCCGACTGCATGATTAGAATGATATGAATCAGCGCTTACAATAAGGAAATAGCTTCGATGTAATAGCAACGTTATATGTCTCTTTCTCTTTTTCTCTTTATTTTATTCTAATTTTATGCAATCTTATTATAACTAACGTGTAATAACATTTTTTTCTTGCCGATCTATATATCTAATCGATGAAGTTAAATATATATAATATATATATATATGTATATATATCTTGATACAAATAGAATGTGTTATTCTTTCATTAAAAAGTTCAAAATTACATTTTTTAAAAATGTTTTTAAATCGTATAAAGAATTTTTTTAAAAAGGAAAAATTTAACTTTCTAAGAATTTCTGTAACAAGTAATTTCATTACAACGATGTAGATAACTTACGTCGTTTGTATAATTACTATATAACATTACATATTATAAGCTATGTTGTGAGCAAGAAAATAACTTTGTTCAATACTAAAATGTAGATAGACAAATAATATTGCTACTAAAATTATGTATATTTCTATATTAAGTTTATGCTATATGAGAAACAATTTTGATAAAAATGGTTAATGATGGTTATTGAAAATATGAAGTAATGGAAAATGATCAGATAGAAATTTCGAAAAATACTTCCATTAATTAATAATTATTAACAATTAGATCAATTTAATTATATCAAAACTATAAAAATGGAAGTATTTGTATGAATTGATTTTATCAGAAACTAGAGATTAAATCAAATGATGTGACTTCGGATACCCTGACATCACTTAACATGTATGCGAGCATCTAATAATATATAAAGTATGATAGTATATAAATATAGCAAAATAATATACTTTACTCTATTTGCACATTGTTTTACCAATAACTAATAAGGATAATGGCCCAAAAGCTATTGAAGAAATAATGTATTGTCCCTTCTCATTATAGCTCGATCACATATACCTATAATTACACCATCGTCAGATTCGGATCGCCAGAGGTCAAAAGCGTGTTATACACGTCTATGTTTTTCACCTTCGGATCAATTTGCTTGTCCGACTGTGTCTTTCGTCGCTTCCTTTCCATTTCTAGCCATTCCGATGATGATTTCTTCGTCTGGTGAAATAGTATCCTCATGATGCACCAGACAAGCAACACCGCTCCGGAAAGAAACAGCAAATACATCGATACTTCCGTCAGGATCGGCAAGAAGTTTAGATAAAACCAAAAACGAAGATTCATACTTAATGGCAGTTTGTACATTCCCTGAAAAGAAAAGATTATATTTTATTATTTTTTACACGTTCGATATAATTTCGCGAAACGAAGAAATCACTGATTGTGCAAAAATTAATATACATAGTCCACTATTGACGCTACAAATGTTTTGAGGCATTCTTTAATTATTTACAATAGTTCAACATCTTAACGTTCTGACCGTTATGGCGCTTCTTAATTTAAAATTATTATGTTTAACATTAGCGGTCTTTCAATCTTATTATTCTTTAATTAGTTTAATTGGTCAATCAAATGCTTCGAAGCGTTTGTAGCATTAGAACTGCACCCATAATTAATTAATACGGAAGTAATTAAAAGTTACTCTTTTGACTGACCTTTAGAAGACAATTTTAAAAAGTAGAACATTATTAAACTAAATCAATTATGTATGCAATTAAATCAATTAAGTTAACAAAATCAATTAAATCAATTAAAAATTAGTTCAATTATTAAATTAAATCAATTAAATTTTGCATTGATATTTTCTGTACTTACAATTTCGAACCATAGTAACGGAATTGTCATATGGGGGAACTTTTCCACCATAGCCATGTGTCCGATATTCTGTAGAGCTAAGTTAATTTGGAATCGAGCTGCCACATTCATGGGTATCCCGGACTTCGGCTGAATGTAGAAATAAGATTCATGCAATTCCTTGTTGGGTTCCAGTCCTTCGATGGCTTCTAGGAACGACGGGTCGCTCTTGTAAAAGTGTGGATACGACAGGGCGATTGGAAATCCTATGTAAAAATAAGGAAAATTTTATAGTGTAGTAACACAATCTTTATTTGACAGGTCTAAATTGAACACGAAAATTTGCTTGTAAATCATTGGATTACACGAGACATAAAACATCGCTCGATTCTCCTAAGATGTTTCATGTCGCTCAGTGGAAACAGCTCACTTACTTTATGATGTAACCAATGTGATATAATTTTATTATTACGAACGCGATTCGATTATTTGTCACATTTTATCGGAACAGATCCATTAAAGACGAACTTTCTGAATCTGCTTGTCGAGGTAAATAATTCTAAACGTATAAATTATCTCTATTTTTTCCTCCACTCGCGTCCTGAATCGGAATTTGCTAATTTTTATTGCAACATGATCAAAGCAATTGGAATCTCATAACACTTCAATAGAGATAAGTACTGCAAGTACTGTGTAAATAGCATGCGACATGAGAATTTTATGATGCATATCGAAATTCCATTCTTTTATAAGTCTATTTTTTTATAAAAAACAGTCAGCAGTGAAATGACTGAGGCACTTAATAAGTTACATAAAAAGCAAGGCTGTTAATGATATATACTGACCAATTAAATATGCATCAACCCAGATAGTCAAATGCAGTGTATTTACTGATATGTTACAGCAACCAATTTCGACAAACTCAGGACGAGGTGAGACAGCATTATGTCTGTCGCGTTGAACTCAATGGAATTCAAATTCTTGCGATGACAAATTGATGGCAATATGTCAGCATGAATATCCTCGACAATAACTAGTGTCATATTGTCAGCATTTTGTTAGCAATGAGCTCAAGACGAAACGATTAATTATTCGTTGCTAACATGTTGCCGACATCATAATGTACTACCATTGTTCACAGTTTGCTCTAGAAATTTCGACAACTGATTACATATATAAGCAGTCACATTGTATTTATAATATGTCCTATTTTGATGTCAGCAAATGTACAGCAAATATATAACAACATATGCAATGCATTAGTTTACACAATACGCTACATCACTTGGCTATCTGGGAAATGTGCATTAAGTGAAAAAAATACTGAAAAAAATTTTGTTCATTTTTGGTCCAATGAATGATCGTTAATCAATGTCCGACTTAATGTCCGACTTAATGTAGTTAATTCATTGATACAATAACTGGATTCATTTATACAACTATATATTCATTCTTGCAATGAATTCTAGTAATAGTTTTATAATCTAAATCATTATGAGAATTCATTGGACCAATTTTCATTATTTTTTCATAATTCAATGAATATTTTATTGTATTTACGTACAGTTTTGGTTCAGTGTATAATAATTTATTCATCGGAGAGAAGTTTAATCCGACTTTAATTTGGAACATCTATTATATTAAAGAATAATTTATTGAAATTAACTGGCGTATTGATATCTTACCGTAATAACAATCGGTTACATCAATTAAGCCGGGCTTTAGGCAGAATCCTTTGCGACAGAAGCACTTATTTTCTGGATTTACTGCTCCGTTATCCAATTCATTCTCCATAAATGTGTATTTGTATGTGTCTAAGCTTTGCAGGACCTCTTCTCCGATTCGTACCTTTGGAAGAGATATCGTAAAGAGATGTTTTTATAAAAAGAAATCTTAAAATTTGTACATTTTTTAAAATGAGGTACTACTGCTCTTACATTTTAAATATTTTATTATTTTAATAATATAAATTTTTTATATTATATCATTAATTACTCATATTTAAAAATTGCTAATGTAAAATTTATATTACACTATAAATAAACCCAGTTTTTTTTATAATAAAGGTCATTTCTGACACTAAAGATATTGTAATAAATATTTAAATAGCTTCTATATAATTATTTAACGAAAAGAGTAAGTTTAATATTTCAACTGATTTTTAATTTAAAGATCAGCTATGAAACAATTCTCAACATTATAAATTAAAATGCAGAAATAAAGAAAGACATAAAAAGACAAGTCTTGAGGAAAAATTGCCGAGTTGCGCTCGAGGGATAGATCCGTCAATTGCATAAGAATAATTTACGAGCATTCTGTATAAGGGAAGAAAGTCAATAATAGAAGAAATAACATTACACGCGAATCGCATGACTTGGCAAAAGATTCTTAGTCGAACTGTCTAACCATTTCGTCGCGTGATGTGATTGCAATGATCAAAATTACCAAGCGTGCACTTCGACAGAGGCTCTTGCGAAAGAAGAGGAGTGTGTCGTTAGGCTCGATGTAGCTCGGAAACTTAACACCGTCGCTCGCGCCTTGCACATTCGCGCATTTACCAGTCCATTGCGGTAAGTTCACGTCCCCATTATACTTATCGATCAAGCCTATCTTTCGGATATCTGTCTCTCCCGTGTAAATCGTTTCGAAATCGCCGTCGAAGTCATACATCTGCAAAGTGTAACAAACACAAGATTTTTATTATCACAAGACTTGCATTCTAGATTGAATTTCATTATTGGAACAGTATTTAAAAAATTAAAAAAGAAAAATCTACTTTAACACAAAATACACAAAATTTGAAAAAAAATATTTATTCGATGGCTGTAAACGGATGTTCTAAGTCTACTTGAGTTTTATATATTTGTAACAAAAAATGTAAGTAATTAAAAATTTTTTAGCTGTGTCAAGGAAAAGCTATGTTAGTTAACTTAGAAAAAATGTATTATTATAAATATTACTTATATATGATCAATTGTATACCTATCTCATATATTTCAGAAGTTGGTTATTTCTTACCCTATCGATTAATCCTAATTTATCGAACTTAATCCAGGAGGGCATTAAATGATTGCCAAGAGTGACGAGAGTTGGTTGATAATTAAACATGAATTCATGTGCGGTCATTTGAACAAGGGGTTTAGTGTTCGTCCGACGGATCAGCACATTAAGACCCCACCTGGACAAGTATGAGGCATCTTTCATGACGTTCGTAATGCTCTGTAATAATAGAAAAATAATGAAAAATGTATAATTGGACGAAATATGTATAATATAAACTATTACTTTAATGAAGCAAATATTCTGCTCCATTAAAATAACTAATTTCATTACAATAAGCTGACATTGAGATTATATAATTGCACGACACTTTGTGTACTCATCGCTCGCGTGCATAAGAAGATCAAGTTGTTGACTCCACTTATTATTTTTCTCTTCTTTTCTCATCATCCCATTAATAAAGTGGAAAATATAACTTTTGTATGATAATTAGCAACAATTTTAAAATGCTTAATAAAACGGTATTACGCAAAAAACAAATTATTTTATAGAATAAAAAATACGTATATATTTACATAAGCAATATAAAATCCTATAGTTTAGATTTAAGTTATGAAGACTATAATTATCTTTGAAAGATAATATATGGACATGTACTTAAATGTGTTTAGCAAATTATTAGATTGTAAATTACGTGATAAATCGTATCTGTTATATTGCCGGATCAATGACATGTTGCCTATTGACATTTATTGTGTGTCATTATAATATGTTGCTCTTTATCGAATTAAGTGTGACATATCAATAGTCTTCAATAGCGGAAAGAATCAAATTATCGCAATCTACAGACATTTTTCATTCAAGCGATTGCCAGGGTCATTGGCTTTATATTGATAACGCAGCTAACATAAATAATGGCATACATGTAGGAGGTTTAACCAGTTTCAATCTAGCAGCTTGCAAAATCCTAGAACACTTGTTCCATATTTTAATATGCTTTTAAATTGTGCTTGAAGTTGCATGCAAAACTTTTGCAATGAAAAATAAGTAAGAATTTAAAATAAAAATAGAATAAAAATAAAAGTCAATAATTAAATAAAAGGACTAATGAGAGTCAGATGAATCTCAGAGCGTAATATAAATTAATGAATAAAATTTATTGAACATATAGAATATTTTGGCTTAATTTCGAATCATCTTCAGAAGTTTCGCATATATTTAAAAATAACTTCACAAAAAAATGATTTT